ATATAAAAATAATTTAAAGTAATAAATTATTTTAAATTATAATTTTTGAATAATTTATTTATAGCATAATAATAAATTATTAAATAAATTATATATAAATATATATTATAAATAATACAATTAAATTAAAAATAATTTGTGATGGAATTAGAGACGGAATTATGATAAAAAGCTTTGTGACGGAATTTTTCATTACAAGTTTTGTCACTAAATCAGAATAAGATATTCTAATCATTAGCAATGAATTTTTTTGTTGGTAAATTCCATCAATAAATTATTTTTGATGAATTAGTGACAGAATAATGATAAAATTTTAGCGATAAAACATTTTGTTGCTAAATTTTGTCACTAAATTAGCAACAAATTAGCGATGAAAATTTATTCCGTCGCTAATCTACTGTTTTTTTATAGTGATTAAACTGGTGATATTTTGTTCTTTCTAATTTAATTAAAACAATTACTCTCTCTTTTTAAAAATGTAAGGTATTTTTTGAGGGGTGATATATTAAAAAATATAAGGCATTTTTAGTGTTTTAAGGTATAATCATTACATTTTTTTCAAAAATATTTTTAATAAATAAATTACTTCATATTTATTTTAGAGTAAAACATTCTATTAAATAAATATAAATATAAAAAATAATATTAATTTAAAGATAAGTAAATTTTTATTAGAGATCAAATTTAATTGAAAATATTTTATATTTTTAAATAAAGGGTGTATGTTATTTCTTTGTCTATCACTCCGATATTATCCTTCCCACCAGCAGCTTTGTCTTTGTGGTCCTCTTCACTGCTGCCATGTTGGTTTTTGTGCACATGCCCACTATTTATCCTCTCACTTTCATTGCTTTTTGAATGGAATTTTTTGTTTTTTTGTCTTTTTTTTGGATTACAAAAGCAAGCAGAAGCTTGAATAAGAGGTCAGAGTGAAATTAAGAGACACTCATATCAGATAACACTAAGTCTAAACAATCCACAGAACAAGTCCAAATTAATTCCACCTTCGCATCCGATCCATGGTTAGTTTTTACTATATAATCTGCACATGTCAAGTTATCTCTCGAAATTTGTTTGACAGTAATCTCCCAATCCTTATAAATAAGTTCTTGAATATTCCAAAGTCACTCCATTCCTGAGGGTAGGCCTGTGCAGGATGTCCATAAGTCTGAGATGCCCGGCCCGACCCGAGCAGAATATGCCTAACCCGAGCCCTAAAAAATTGCCCAATACTGTTTGGGCATGGTCGGGCTGAGCCCGATCTTCGGGTTGGGCAGGGTTTAGGGTTGGGGTATCCAACCAATTGACCCTGCCCGGCCCGAGATATAATATATTTTTTTATAAAAATAATAATATAGGATGTAATTTGTTAACTTGATGGGGACATAAATGGTAGTTCTTTTTTTTTAGATGCCTTGATGATCAAGTTTGTAAACCTTAGGTTAAATATTTTTATATTTCTTAGAATTTAGAATTGGACAGCACTTGTGACTTGCATGAAAAATTCCTTCCATATTTGCTTTGCCATTAAGTTTTTTGATGACACCATAATATTTTTGCTAGTGATATTTAACAATCTATTACTTTTAAAATAAGAGCTTGAAGTGATTTATTGATGGAAATAATTAATTTGCTACAGTGTATTTTAGATTTGTGTGGATGGTTCTGATTTTTTATTTCGGTAGGGCAAGGTTGGAAACCCTGCCCGAGGTGCCCGATCCCTGCCCGACCCTGCCCCTCCAAAGTTGGGCATCTTTCGGGTAGGGTCGGGCTTTGGGCATAGTTTTTTTGCCCGAAGACATTTAGGGCAGGGCATCGGGTTAATGGGCTGCCCTACCCGACCCTGCCCATGCACAGCCCTACCTGAGGGAAGAATTAACACATCAGTCTTTGAAGTGAAAAGCATGTTAATCACATTTAAAGAATTTGACAATAATTTGATCTTTTGGAAGTTATGAAGTTTGCATACTTCTAATCCAGTCTTTAACAAAAGAAGTTTAGCAAAAGTGATGGATACTCTCCCTAACTCCCATCTAAATCCCAAAACCCAGTCTCCATGTTGATTCCTGATCACTCCTATAGGTGGCATATCCTTGTTGATTAATGGAAGCATCCACATCCACTTTGATAAAACTAAATGGAAAAAAGTTCCTATCGAGAATGGAATGATCATGGATGTTGAGAAACCAAAATGTTTCATCAGAAAATCTCGTCTTTTTCATATTTTCACTGAAATGACAAGGGTGGATGAAGATTTAAGGGGAAAATGAATTAAGAAGTGTAATTAGAAAGGAATGAATGAAATAAGATAAAATTTGGATCGGTATATTTTAAACTGAATTTTAGATTTAAAACATATGTGTGCTTTGTCTTGGGAATAGAGTCCAGAGCATTGCACTTCTTAAGGATTGGCCAAGAGGAATAGATCCTCAAAATACTAATATCTCATTTTAGAGAGGTATAAAGATATTTCACTGTTTTCTTTGTTAATTATTATTTTTTTATAGGGGAATTAATTATCTCTTTCTATTTTTCTTTACTAATTTTTAATTAAGTTATAAAATCAATATTCTTTGCAATTTTTCCCCTTAATTATCTCTTTTTAAAGAGGAATTGAACATTTTTTGCTAACTTTCTTGTTAATTTGGTATTTTATAAAGAAATAGATAATTACTTACTAAAGAGAGAGGAGAAATAGGAGTACATTGAGCAAGGATCACTTGCTTTACAAGAATGCAAGTACGTTAGTGCTTCATTAGATGGAGGAAAAACCAAAGTAAATACTAGCCTAGGGAGCCCAAGCTCATATAAACAGAGTGAGTTATGTCGGGCGAGCATGGGTGACACCAAGTAAGGATGTTGAGTCTTTACATTGGGCACATTGAATTGCTTAAGTTGATTGTGCAGAGTATTGAAAGACCTTTAATCACATGCTTGTTGCTTATTTATAAAACGTGCTTGTTGCTAACAAGGTAGCAATTGCTCCTTTAATTTTGAATTCTAGCACTTAAAGTTACCAGATAACTATTCGTGCCATTAGTTTAATTAAAGAACATGTGAATTGAAAATTCAAAACTAAATTTAAGTAAGAAAAAAGGTCAAAATCAAATGGAGTAAAAAGAGAAATCTCAAAATCACAGTGAAGATTAACTATTTAAAATTATTGTTATATTATTTAATAATTTGATATTTTATATTTTATATGTATGTTATATATGTATATAATATTTTTATTTAATTATTATGTTATATGTCTGACCCTGGTCTAATTAGTTGGATTAAAAAAATCATAATCCATTGACTTTTTTGATTTGACATCTAGACCAGGTTTTATAACATTGGTAATAATATTTGACATTTTGTTCATGAAAGAATTTTTTTTATCCTATTTATAAGTCACACCATTAAATTTTTATTATAAATTTTCTTCTTAACTCTCCATTGAATGTTAAAGTGAGAAAATATGTTATTGAATGTATATATTTAATAGGGTAAAGTTAAAAGTTTATTAAATTTTATGACAGAGTTAATGAGTTTTAAAATTTTTTTTAATACTAGTAAAATATGTTAAAACTAACTTATAAATAGGATTAGAATAGTATAAAATGACAGTGCAAATAACACAGTTTACATACGTGACTGCATGACCGTGAGATCCCTGTTAATTGTGATCTATAAATTAATTCTTCATCATTAGCCTCATTTTCCAACTCAACATAATTTGTTTGGTTTTTTTTTTTTTTTTTCGTAATGAAGCAGGGGATGCAATTTTACGGTGACTTGAAAAGGGCAATCAATTAATAGCTGGCTTTAATAATGACGTGTTGGGTTTCAGAAAACTGGGGTCCATGTCCATTGTTGTAAGATCGTGATTTTTTTTATTTTTTTAGGTACTGTGTCTTATTGCAGACTAATAGTGTGTGACTGTGTGCGTGCGTGTGTGTAAATTTAAAATAATTAGTCTTACGTATTTAATGATGACAAATGTACGTTATCTTTGATTTTTTTTTTTTGTAATTTTGTCTTATTGCAGAACGATAGTGTGTGTGTAAATTTAAAATAATTTGTCTTATATATTCAATGACGACAAATGTACATTATCTCTGATTTTTTTTTTTGTAATTTTGTCTTATTGCAGACTGATATTGCGTGTGTATATAAATTTAAAATAATTAGTCTTATATATTTAATGATGAAAAATGTACATTATCTCTTATTTTTTTTTTATTTTTTGTAATTTTGTGATGACCAATATTAATAATATAAGAAACATGATTCATGCATTTCACTTGACAAATGGATGCAATCATACAAACTCATATATAAAGAGAAAATTAAGGGTATGCTTGTTTTCCATTCTTAAAACTGTTTTTTTTTTAACAAAACAACCTTAAAACTTGTTTGGGTAAATGTTTTTTCATTTAATTGTTTTTAAAAAAAATTTCGTTTTTTATTTTTTAAATAAAAACAACTTTAAATTATTTTTATTTTATTTTTTTATTTTTAAAATACACGACATTTGTTTTGTGAAAATTATAGTTACTCTAATTAATTTTTATTGTTAACTACCACTATTAATTGATTATAACTATCACTATCAGTTTATTTTTTAATTTTAAAAATATTTTTTAATTGATACAACCAAATGGATTTTCATTTTATTCTATTTTAAATTTTTTTAATAATTTTGTTACAAAACAGTTTTTAAAAATAAAAAATGAGAACAAAAACTAAATAGGCCCTAAAACAATCTGTTTCTTACTAAACCTAATTAATTCCAACGGGGAAACATAATGCACGTTCTCATCATTCATAGAGGGAACATTATGGCACACATTTCATGCAAATTTATTAGCTTAGTTGTAATTCATCTTAACTATCGAATGTTTAGTTCAACAAGTAAGGGAATTATAGTATCTTGACCAAAGGTCCAAGTTTAAGTCTTAACAATACAACTGCATTTAATACTCGTCAATGGAAGAGCTTTCCACTTGAAATAGTTCCACAAGTGCTCAATTTAGAGTTAAGTGCCATTACGTCCTTTCAACTTGAGTCGGATACACTTAGGGTGTGCAATATTTAAAAAAAAAAAGAAAAAAAAGAAAAAAACAGAGAGAGTAACTAAAAGGATACACCAGACCCACCCAACTTCTCTTCTATCACTTTGGACAATTTCTCTTCCATGGAAAGGCAAAAATGATTTACCCAATCTCCCACCACACCTTTCCTAAAGAAATCCTTGTTTTCATACTTCTGCATAAACTTATCATTCTCATTAGCCTCCAGTTCCTTCATTTTCTCAAAGCTACATAGCTCAATTATGCTTTCAATAATACCATTACTTTCTTCCTCTGGGCTAAATGGGAAACCCAAGAAATCAGCCACTCTTTTCGAGAAAAAATTGATATCTCCTTTTAGATCTTCATACTTTAAAAACAGATCCTTGCCTGGCATCACTTTGCTTTCTCTCCAATAACTCAACATATGTGTCCAAAAAGAACCAAACTCATTGATTCCCTTGGAGTATCTCTCAAATGCTTCCTCGCTTGATAATTTGGGCAATGATGGTGGGATGACTTTGTTGATGAAAAGCCAAAAGGACACAAAATGGTCAAATGGGTTGCGACATATATAGATTATCTTGCATTTGGACTTGACAGCAGAATCTGGCAATGAATGAAATGGAATATGTGTACCAAAAAGTCTTGGCTCAGGCAAGGCGGAGAGATTAGGAATCTGATTGTTTCCATAGTGATTGAACTCAAAGAAAGGCACAAGGTCATGAGAATTGGAAATGAGCAAAGGATGGTTATGTTGTGAGGGAGAGAAACGATTGCGATTTACAATTGCAAAAGTAAGGGCTTTTAACCAAGTAGTGCCAGATTTTGGTAAGGACGCTATAATGATATCACTCTCTTTTGCTTGGAAGTGTTTTTGAAAAGAGATTATGGCTTGGATTCGAGCTGGTGGATACCAAATATCTTGGTAGAGATAAAAGTATGGGAAGTCCCAACCCTTCTCTTTGGGGAGACGAAGAAGCAGTTCCTTACATTCTTGGCTAAGATTTTCATATTCTTCATCTTCACCTTCATTTTCAAGCTCAACATTTGATTGGCATTTTGTGAAGCTAGTGGTAGAAGTTGCAGCCATTGGAACGTGGGTGATAGATTAACAAGTAATCGTAGGATTTTGAATAATTCGCTCACAAGTTGCATTTGTCAATTTATAGCCATTATTGTGATGATGTCGGTTGGATTTTGTTTTGGTATGGATGAATAGAATATAATGCTTAAAAGTTAAAACTCAAATGTAGCGTCACTTCAATTAGCCACCGATAATTATTGGAATTTAAATTTGGTGAATGGACTAAAGAATTCAAACTTAATGAATAACTTAGTTATAATCATTAAATTTTATCAATAGTTAAACATTATCAAGATATATTTCTTTCTGAAGATTCAAAACAATCCTTACGACCAGAATACTCTTTATTTATGCTGTCTCCTCTAAAAATTTTCAGATTTGATATTTTCTTAGTATTATATGAGAAGTTCTTTGACAATCATTTATTTAATGAAACAATTGTTATCATGTAACTTAAAATTTTTATTGAGTGAGTGTACTAAAACAACTTACTGAATGCAAATCCTAATTACTGCCACTAATTAAAATTAACACCAGTAACCAGGAAAGTGAAAAAGGGACTGAGGCTCTGTCATGGTCCGCCCCAATTGAGCTTCCTCTTGCCCGCACAAGGGCCCGACCTCGCGGGAGGATTAAGAAATAATGCATTTGCAAAACGACAAGGTGACCAACGTGGAAAGTGAGGAAATGCCAGAAATGATGATGGCACCCTTGGCGCCACCTTTCATTATTTATATTTATATTCCCAGTTCACCTAAAGTGTCATTTTAGAAAAAATTTACATTATCTATATTTCATTAACATTAAAAAAAAAGTGTGTGTGCGCGTGTGAATTAGACATGTAAATGATGATATATATGCTGCAAATTTTCATGGATATTATGGTTTCACCGACACATAAAACAAAGCGTTGTATACTAAAAATTTTCATGGATTTACAAAGAAATAAAGGATTATTAAAAATAAATTTCGTGCACATTCTACCCACATTCATATTTCATTATAGTGAGCACATGGCATAGGCAGCGTAAGTGATATTGATAATCAATCTATAAAAATCCGGGTCACTCATCTAGTTCAACTGTTACACAAGTGTCTTGAATAGTTTAATAAAATATTAAAAAAATGTATATACAAGTATTTATAGTTTTTTTAATTTTAAAATAGGTTCCTATAGTTTACTTTGTTATAATTGAGTCTTTATAGTTTGATCAATTAAATTTTGAACCTCAAAAAATTAAAATCCTTAATATTTTCTTTAAAAAACAAAATTAAGAAATATTATATTTTTTGTTAAATAATTGTAAAACATAATTTTTATAACTAAATAATTATATAATTAGGCTGTCTTTTAAATATTTTTATAACTTATAGAGTTTTTATAAAAAATAATAAAAATGTAAACAATGTATAAAATTATTTTTTATTTTGGTTAAAGGTATTAAATTCAATTATCTATTAACTCTAAAAGTACTTTTGTTTGAAAAATTTAATAATGAATTATTAATTTTAATTTTCAAGGATTAACATATTTAATAGATTAAATTATAAAGACTTGATTAAAATAAATAAACTATATATATTTGATTCAAAATTGAGGAAAACTATAAGGACATATGGATTAGTTTTTGATTCCTAAAATATTTTGTTTATAATTTGATCATGGTTCAACTATAATTTTAACTATCAACCATTGAATTAATATCTTAACTAATTTAATAATCGCCTGATGTTAGTACATTGACAATAACAGTAGTGGTGGATAAAAAGAAAAAAAGAAAAAAAGCAAAGAAAATCAGCGCGATGAAATAAGTTAACCACATCTTTATATATAGTAGCTTTCATTGCCCCTCAAGAACAATGTGCTTGTTTCTTTTTATGTGGGGACGAGAGAGCCAGTCCCATTCAATGCTGACTCATTCTCTATGTATGGTCCAATTTTTAGGTATTGGCGCAATAAGGGGGAAGCTTCTTTCATTTTCTTTTACTCACTCAACCTTATCTTCTATTATTCCACGTTGTACCTTTTCGTTACTTAAAAATAGATATATTTGACGGTATTTTTCCCCCCCTGTATTTGAACCCATCATATGTTGAGTAGGATCCCTATATTCGACGATTGTGATTAACTGTCATATATTGTTGCTCAGATTTTTGTCAGAAATCCATGGTATATGAGCATATTTAAAGGTTTGTAGTAAGTAACTGTCAAATATGAGCCGCTTATTTGATCGTTATAGACACAACCATCAAATAAGAGAAATCATATTTGACGATTATTTACCATAATTGTCAAATATGCCTAGTTATTTTTTTTTTTGAAAAAAATTGTGGGGCTATGCAGCCCCTGGCATCACTACATCTAGAATGACAACAAACAAAAATATATACACACAACCACTCTCGAATACTTCAAGCATGCTCCTTATTCTTTATCTAGTCTTTTAAGACAATTCAAAAATTAAAACTTGTTGAAAATTCTAAGGCCTAACCTATATACAATTCAAAATTCTTGTACCAACAACAATTCTTATCAAATATTATTCCTCCAATAAATGGAAAATAAATTGAAGCTACCCCCTGTGAAGTTGTTGCATATTGAGCCCACAATTGTAATGCATCATGACACCACTCTTCAATGAATTCATTGATGACAGTACTCAAAATGTGTCATATATAGTATATGTCTGGGTAGTATTGCATTATAAATAACCAAAGCAAAGTTAAGTAATAACAGATTTTTAATTTTGTAAAATAATTGGACTTGAATGACATACATACATACATACATACATACATACATACATACATATATATATACTGTGGGAGGAATGATAGTCTATATATATACTGTGGGAGGAATGATAGTCTATTAGTGACTGATGATGCCTTTATGTTACTTCATTAGGCAATATCCACAGTCCGAGCTATAGTCCTTTTGTTGGGAGCACTTTAATATATATATATATATATTGTTGAATTAAAAAAATTTGACTAATTTTTTGAATAATTAGTGAAAAATACTTTTATTACGTTTCAACTGTAAACCTAGTCATATTTTTTACCTCTTGAAATATTAAGTTGCATTTGGGTGGGAGAGCGATACAACACCACAACTATAATAAAGAAACAAAAAATCTTAGGCATTTGAATAATTCGCTCACAAGTTGCATTTGTCAATTTATAGCCATTATTGTGATGATGTCATCTGGATTTTGTTTTGACATGGATGGATAAATAGATTGCTTAAAAGTTAAAACTCAAACGTTGCATCACTCACTACAAAAAAATAATAGGTTAGCAATGGAATTTAGTGATGGAATAAATTTTCATCGCTAATTCAACACTAATTCATCACTAATTTTGTCACTAATTTAGTAATAGAATTTAGTGATAGAATGTTCTATCGCTAAAATTTTATTATTATTCTATTGCTAATCTGTCGAAAATAATTGAATGATAAAAAATTTCATCGCTAATGGTTAGGATATCTTATTTGCGATGGAAAATTCCGTCACAAAACTTTCTTTCATAATTTCATCGCTAAATCCATCACAAATTATTTTAATTTAATTTTATTATTTATAATATGTATTTATATATAATTTGTTTAATAATTTATTATTATGCTATAAATAAATAATTTAAAAATTATAATTTAAATAATTTATTATTTTAAATTATTTTTATATTATTAATAATAATTTAAATTGTATACTTAATTATTCTTATTTAAAAATAAAAATAAAATAAAATAACTATAAAATAAAAATTTAAAATATTATATATTATATAGATACAAATTATAATATAATATATAATGATAATAAATTTTTTTAATTTAATATTAAATTTATTATCAAAAATAATTTTTTTAAATAAAATATAATAGAAATAATTATTATATATAAATTAATTTTTCCATATTAGTAAATAAATATAATGTTAAGAAAATAAGTAAAATTAAATATTATATCTAATAATAATTTAAATAATATATTTATTAATATATGTGTGTGTGGTTAAGTATAATATATTTAATTTATCAATTAAGAATAAAGATTCCTTTCAGCTTAACTAGCAACAAGATGGACGCAAAGGTACATGGGAGTATGAGGTTGCAAGTTTGAATCTAGCCAAGGCACAATGGAAGGTAATAATATTTGACATAACAGTGACAAATGATGTGGCAGTGACGTGGCGATGAGGTGGCACTGGTTCATTGAGTGACTAGGTGGTGGTGAGGTGGCATTGGTCCACAGGGGTGACGTGACAATAATATTTTAGTCCACCTAATAAATTTATGATGAAATTAGTGACAAAATAAGTTCGTTGGAAAATTAGTGATGAATTAGTAACATAATGCATCTCGTCACAAAGTCAGAATAGCTTTATCCTTATTTAGTGATAAAAAATTTCTATCGCTATTCCATAAAAAATTAGCAATGGAATGCAATTTCGTTGCTAATTCTATCACTAATTAGCGAAGGAATTGCAAATTCCATCGCTAACGAATTAGTGATGGTATACTGACGGAAATATTCCATCGCTAATTCTGTTGCATTTCGTTGCTAATTCCGTCATTAATTAGCGAAGGATTTGCAAATTCTGTCACTAATGAATTAGTGATGATATTTTTACCGACAAAAATATTTCATCACTAATCTATTTAGCAACAGAATTTTCACTATTAGCAACAGAATTTTCCGTTGCTAATTAGCTACTTTTTTTTTGTAGTGACTTCACTCAACTACTAATAATTATTAATATTTAGATTTGGTGAATGGACTAAAGAATTCACACTTAATAAGTGTCTTAATTATAGCTATTGAATTTTATTAATAGTTAAAATTATCAAGATATATTTCTTTTCAAAAATTCAAAATAATCCCTACGATCAGAACACTCCTTACTTATGTTGTTTCCCCCCAAATATTATGAGATTTAATATTTTCTTAGTATCATATGACAAATTCTTTCACAACCATTTATTAAATCAAACTGTTATTATCAAGTCATATGGG